TTGATCAAAGATGATGTATCAAAGCATTTGGGGTAGGACGGGTCACGCCAGATCACCCATTAGGCGTTCTGCCGGCTATCCATAGAATCTTAACCAGCACTTACAGCCTTGCAACATATTGCATAGGTACTATAACTGATACCTAAGTATGCCTAGTTTTCAAATGCTAAAATGGGTGCTAAATTTTAAATCAACACTTCCTAAAAACCACAGTAAAAAGGTGTAAATTTAAGGAAGTTAACCGAGATCATTTCAAGTAAATGACCTTAGCCCGAGTTTCACGTGACCTTGGCACCCACAACAATCAATGAGACAAACATTACATAGTATATTTCACATGTTGTCACGTCCCTAATCACGAAACGACTATGGAAACACACAGAAGATGTGCGCTGACTTTCAATTGCTATTCTAGCCTGACATGATCTTGAGAAAAATAATCACAGGTTAAAGGTAATTTGGTTAAGGGATTTAAAATTCTCGGAGAAGATGCAAAAATGTTAACGGCTATTTAATTTTCCGGGAAGTTGTAAAATTGATTTACTCCAGGGCACCAAAGAATCGTCGCAATCCTTCGCTTTGCCGCGATTTATTGGTGAAAAACAGGGGGCGCGGTCTTTATACCTCTACTTATAACTATGTGTGGTGAGGGTAAATGTTCATTTTATCTGTGTTGATGAATGTTAAACAATTTCTATTTACATGAACTGAGACCAGTCCATATGAGTATGTTTTTCTCACGGACAATGACAATATAAAAACAATGCGAATAAAACCAAACGTTTCGGACAACAACGTGCCTTCGTCACTGGAGAAAAATAAGTGTAGGTTTAACATCGATGAGAACTATATGCGGCACCGTCTCGGTCTGGCCAGCCGGGTTGCCGATAAAATACACAAATGTTTATAAGCTTCCATGATGTGCTTAAAAAACTGCTGAAAATATATCTTAAAAAAGTAAAGATAACTACTTCATCGATTTTATCGAAAGAAAACATGTATGCTGCCAGTAGTTACTTATTTCTTGCCACTGACGGAGGCACTTTTTTGTGCGAAACGTCTGGTTTTATTCGTACTGTTATTGTATTGTCCTTCCCAGGGGGGCGACACGGCTATTCACGCAATGTATTCATTTGCGGGCCTCGCGGGGCCTCGCGATGACGCGGCTGGAGGCAACCACTCAGCGCGCTAGGATCCTTCCGGCGGGGCCGGGCGCCGTAAGGTGTGCAATGAATGGGCGGGCAGACAGAGATGAGGTAGCCGGTAGGTATTGAATTTGAAATGACATCATGAGCAATTTGATGGGGAGAGAGAACGTTTCTAATGGAGCTTGGGATGGGGGAAAACCAAAAATATCACGGTCGGTTCAGAGCTCCGACGGGGCCGGGTGCCGTACGGTGCGTAGTAATTTAGGCGGACAGACAGATGAGTTATCGGATTTGAATTGACCTTACCATCGGGCTCTCTGGTGGGATTTTAAGACGTTTTTACTTTTTAGTGAAGCTCAGGGTGGGGCAACCCGCTGGCGGATCCAAGGGAAGGCGTTTGGGACAAATGTTATCCCCCACAGGCCCACATCCGGGGCAGCGTACGAATTCGTTTTTCGAGAACAAAACGAAAACTTCACAACTTTTCTGAGGAAAATTTTATGGATCGAACTGCACAGTAGTGCGCAAGGAATCGAAATCCGATGTTTTTTTTTTAATTCACAGAAACCTGTTTAGGGTATGCCCCCCGATGTGTTCAAGACCGCTTCCTGGATCCGCCAGTTAAGAATATGTCACGGTCGATTATCGAGCTTCGGCGGGACCGGGCGCTGTATACGTCGTGCCTACAATGAAGAGGCATACAGACACCACATCCCACATCCTACTACGCTACCTGTGCCTCTATGTGTGAAGCACTGAAGAATCACGGAAGCCCACAGGACCTGCGAGTCGACGAGGTGGCCGCCGGATACTGCAGCTCCCCGGAGTTGCCCGGGACCGAGGGTTTAACAACTTAGTAATTTCACTGGTGGCGAATCCTCGTAATGTAAAGATAATATCCTCAAGGACCTCCGTTACGATTTTATATTCCTAAACAATATGGCAGACCAATTATGCTTGCCTACGTTCAGACATTATCCCTGATGCTTATCCGCCCACCCACTACAACATGTGTTGTCTGTCAATCAACCATCGCTCGACGACGGGATCCACTCTAACCATCGGTATTCGGTTGTCAATTCACCCACCCCGTTTCCCTAAAATAGACGGGTCAGACTCGGCCTGGGTCTTAACGAGTCCTAGAATCGCCAGAGACGGGATCAGGTCGCCGTTATTGTACCGGTCTTGGCGTCCTTAGGTACCTACATATAGACAGCTTCGACCACGGACGTCGGACCGTTCTACAAATGTACGCACCATCCAGGCCTAAGATGCGTCGAGCTTTATAAGAATGCAGTCTAGATCAATCAACATAACAATGGTGGTATGCAAAAAACGCTTTAAAATCTCTCCCCGGCTCCCGCAACGTTCCAACGCTCCTCCGTTATACGCTCGCCCGATGCGTCCGCCGAGCCGGCTTGCCTCCAATGACGTCATCGGCCGGCCGGCGGCGTTCAAGGTCAAACGGCTGGTGTCCTTACCTGGAGTTCTATAGCCTTGGTCCTTCCCTGTGAGAAAAAAGGATAACTCTTCAGTTAGTAACCATAAGAGCGAAACCGCTTAATGTAACACAATTCACTGTGTATACGAAACCTATAAGTCCCTAAAAATAATCCTATTTATAGCTTTTAAAAAGATACAGCTTATACAGCTTAGGTATATGTACATTTTTTTCTACGTTAAGATAATATTCATTTATCTCCACAGAATATGGTAAATTAGTGCTGCTGAAGTTCGCTTTCGAAGCGTCTCCTCTAGGCATTCCACAGCTCTCGTGCCATCTTGGATCACGGAACATGGCTGGGCGCGGGACAGGTCGTCTGCGAGCTTGGACGGACCACGTGACCACCTCCTCCCCTCCCCTCACTCCCGTCCCCTTCCCCAGCACGGCGTCCGATGAGATCTAACCGCGCCCCAGGCAGTCGGCTCGGTCCGACCCTCACTGGTCGAGCCACGGCGCCGCCTGAGTTTGTGCCGGGTGCAAAACTGGAGCAGTTACTAGCGCCGGAACTAGTAATCAGCACGACCATCGTCAGATGGCAGGAGTGAATGGAATAAGCGGTTCCAGGTTTCAGAAGGAATGGGGCAGGAAAAAGCGCTTAAAACAATGTTTTGCTGATATAGCCATAAAAAGTTCACTGAATTAGGAGAGCAGCACATCAGTTTAAAGCCCTTCAGATGGTGGTTTTAATAAGCACACAATCATTTTCCAATTCGCCTCCAACGGTGTCACAGGCCAATAATACGCTGAAATACTAGTGTGTACAGAAGCAACTGCGGGTCCCTGTACCCAGTCCGGCAGGCACGGGCGGCAGCAGCCGGCGGCCCGGTCACCACCAGGCGACACTAGTCGGCATCCCGGTCACCACCAGGTGGCAGCAGCCGGCGGTCCGGTCACCGCCAGGTGGCAGCAGCCGGCGGTCCGGCCGGTGACAGAGGTGACTTACCCGGGATAGTAGTAGGTCCAGCAGGAACGGTCCAGGTCAGAATCAGGAACAAGTAAGGACAGTAAGGAAGTTGAGGAAGGTTGAGGAAGGTGCCAGCCGTTGCCTGATTCAGCCCCTCGATGGCGAGGACACTGAATACAGACATATGCAATGATTTGTGGTACTCCGGCGCCTTGATGGCAAGGTTAGCCGGAGCCGACTGTTGGCAGTTGGCACCCTTTGAATGAGAGGAGTCCCGCACCCGCATCTCGATGGCGAGACACGGGAAGCGAGTTCAAACCAAGTGTCTCGATCTCACCTCAGGAAGAGGGAATGAAAAGATGACTTTTCAGGGAAGGACAGACAGGATGTGCAGGATCGTGCGCCACCAATTGCCGCTTATAAGCTGCACCTGGTCCTCGGGCCGGTCAGCAGCACAACGGATAGTGCCGGCTCTACTGGAATTGGCTCAGGTCCTCTTTGGAGCTGAGACGAACCGTCGCAGACTGCTGGGACTTTTTTACCTTGAGGACGCATCCATCAGACCAGACGGCCCACAGTTTGCCTTGACGCTTCAGCTGTCTTGCCTGGTACATAATCTCCTGGTTTTTCTTCGTCAGGTTCTCTTGAACGAATACGTTTTTCATGGTTCCCTCCGTCAAGCTGGAGCCCCGTGGCGGCTTTGCGCTTCTGGGTTCTTTCTGTCCAAACCAGACGGCCTCCCGTTTCAGGTACGACACGTACTTCACGATCAGCGGACGAGGAGGCGGGGGAGCCTGGCCCGGGGCGGACGCCCGGGGCCTGCCCACACGATGAGCTCGGTCGATGTCGACCCTATCCAACTTGACGTTGGCCATCTTTGCGACGTCGATCGCCAGCTGAACCGCATTCTCGTCGCGGGCCTCGGGAATGCCGGTGAAGTTTAAACAGTTACCACGCGAGTACTGATCGAGCTCGGACAACCTGTCGTTCTGTTCGGTGATAAGAACTTTTTGAGCAGCTACTTCTTCCTTTAGTTCCTTGATCTCCTTCTCCTTCTCCTCGATCCCGAACAGGCCTCGCAGCGTCGCTCTGATTTCGCTGTCTTCCAGCATGGCGAGAAGAGTCGTTTTCATCTTTTCCAAAACTGGCATTTTGTTTCACTCACTGTACAACACAAGCACACCCACTGCTGCGCCGCTCAAACTACTCGGCACCAGCCACAGTATCGGGCTCTGAACGCACTGACACCGGCCCCACACTCGTTCAAGGTCACGGGGTCACGCCGGTCGGGCGGAGCGAGGGCGGGCGCGTCTGACCCCGAGGCCGGTCAGACAGCTCGGTTGCAATTTGTAAATACGCGGTCTGTCGGCTGTGTAATAAATTGCATGTGTGATGATGTGCAGTTTTATCGACTCACATGTTTACACGACCCTATTTTTCACAGGAGGAGTGCATGCAACGCTTCAAATACTTGGCCGACCTGCTCAAGAAGCGAAAAGAAACCGCTGCGAAGAAGTGCGAAGAAGAAATGCGATCGACCTTCCAAGACGCACATCCTTTTATTAACATCGGTATCGATGCAGAGGCATCGTCCATTGGAGTTTCGGCTGCGCAACGAGGTACAGCTTCGGCCGACAGTTAGAACACAACGGACCGAGAGGTCTCTGCAGACACTCACTGAGTGGCCTCTGCAGACACTCACTGAGTGGCCTCTACTGGCCTCCCGTCAGCGGTCCTGTTTTACGGCCCGGCGCTGCAGTGCCAGCGCGCTGCGCTGTTCTACTGGTGCGGCGTTTGAGACGAATTCGGCTCGACGCTCCAGCGTTACGAGCTCCAGCGTTACGAGCGTCCGAGTTTGTTGATGTTTCCATGGAAACCCAATGCACCGCCATGCGCAGCGCGCTGTAGCGCAGAGCCGTGAAACAGGGACATGCTGTCGGTCTGCGCTGATTGTTCTGCGCGGTGAGACCAACTCGGCGCAATGCTTATGCCAGCGGAGCATAATCCTTCACTGTTGTGAATTTTGCTATTCGGAGAGCCATTTAAGATGACTTTTTTGGAGGAACAGTGAAAATAAAACCTATTGCGCTTAGATTTTCTCAACCTTTTCCAAAATTGTGGGAATCTCAATGCCTAAATATATAGGTAATGCGACCACGGGAATCACGCGAAAAACAATGTACATCATGACTCGCTCGATGACTTTTGCCTGCCCGATGCTGGAAATTCCGTGGAAAGGATTTGATAGCACTGGTTAAAGTCACTGGCAGATCCGGAAGGAAGATGTTGGACGCTGTGGGGGGGGGGGGGACACCTCTCTTCGGGTCTCGACCAGACCCTCGGTAGGTCTGAGGCCGGACCAGAACTGTCCCGAAACGCATGTTCACACGCTGAGGAAGGTCGGAGCGAACTGCGTAGGAAGGTCGGAGCGAACTTGCTCGTTCATTGGCTCTAGGTCGGGCCCCGGGTCGCGACTTAAAGGGACAGTATCACCATTTTGATGAAATTTGACATTGCATAGGCCCCACCTTTCTGGTCCGGGAACTGAAGACCGATCCTCGAAGCTCCACACCGTTATCCCGCTATCGCCGCTCAAAGTACGAAAGGTGTACTACACTTTGAATCGTGCTTCACTATCTTCACTGTTTAAATGTTTGCGCCGTTTTGAATTGACCGCCAGTAATAAAACTTTTACCCTGGTCATTTCATCAAATTTTATAAAGCCAAAACGTTTTTCGCACTTATTCATCACCGTTAAATTCATTAAATAGTCGTAGGCAATTTCCGCTGTTTCCTTCGGATTCTAGCGGCTCAACAAAGGAATTCCTCCAGCTTGAATCACAATCTCCCTCCAATGTATGACGTATATGTATGACGTCATCTGATCAGTCTCGATCTCAACGACAACTCAATCAGAAGAGCGGCCGCGTAAGCGTAGCGTCAATAATGTATTATCTGCGCCAGTTCTGTAGTAATTTCGCAGGCTTCCAAAGTGGCGGCCATGCTTGTAGTGGTGGTTCGCTCATGAAAATGACTCGCTCATGAAAAAATATTTTTCACCGAGTTCGGTCCTCAAACTATGTTTTTCTGATTTAGAAAAATAAGAAATGCTAGTAAAAAAAAAAATCAGCTCCATACATTGATTTTTTTTCGATGATACTGTCCCTTTAACGAAGTGTTGGATTACCAAATTTTTAGAATCTCTTACGGCACCCGATAAATCACGAATTTTCTTAGAACCGTACTTTTTCTACGGCGCTCTGTTTCAAAACAGTTTTAAATGTTGACGGCGACTGAAAAAATGACACCAGCGCTTGACTAATTTTTGGAGAGATTCTGTTGCATAGTTACGATTTACGAAAAAGTAGTTCATCGTAATGCGCAGATAATGTCGCAGATGCGCCAACATGTGTGAAAGTCGTAAAATATTCTGAGCAAGGGGTGGGCTTCGTAGATTTTAACCACAAGTCGGCTGTTGCAGCTGTTTGCCGCCAAATTCCAAGTTACATCTACAGGGTGTCCCAGAATTACCCGAACATTTATTTTCTGGCTAAAAGTACGATTGCGCTCGATTCCAATGATATACAAGCATCATACTTTTGTAAGATATCCCTTAGCTATCGAGCTTGGGGACTGTGTGCTTTTGGTGACCGGTAACGACTCGAGTCAATTATTATCCAGAGTCAAGTACGAGTAGTCCTTTTCCGTTTTCAGCTTAAGCCACTAATAGGCAACCATGGTAAATCAACTCCCGTTCTCAACTTTGTAAACAGACTTTCGGCATGGTTTTTGCTGGAGAGCTTCAGCAGCTCATCTGCAAGCAGTTAGGATTGAGCAAAGCGCAATTATATCAGCTAACGAAGCCAGAGAGAGCAAGAGATAAACCTGATTGACAAGCTGGGGCTCGGCCAAAAACAGTGGGGGAAACTATGGTCAAATATTCCATTTTTGGAAGCCTTTCATTTTTGGAAGGACCTTCCATAAATGGGTATGTATTTTCCCGAAATGGAAGGCTTCCAAAATTGGAAGGCCTAATCTCAGTGTTCCCAACTGTGTTTCCCATCCTTTGATGTAAGTTACGGCCTTTTTAAATGTGTAACATTAATAGTTGATTTTGCCATTTATGATCATTGATATAAGGAGAAGCAGCAGTGCTAGTGTTGGTAATACAGGCATGCTATGTCAATTATCGGGGTTACATGAGCACAGTAAATACGTATTTAGCCGCTAATGCGAATTAGGAACGCATTACCGACTCATGTAGCCACCTGCTAGTACGAATCGGCGATCCGAACCGCGGTTACATGAGCAAAGCAAATACGTATCACGATCGGATTCACCGCTAATGCGAATCAGGAACGTACTACCGACTCATGTATCCACCTGCTAATACGAATCGGCGGTCCGAACAAAATCCGCTGAGAAACAGGCTTAGGAGCGAATAGGACCAAGATACGTATTACAGGAACTATTACTTCCCAAAAAGAAGCCTTAAAATGAAAAATACAAGGTGTTTTGTCATTTGTTGCTCTTGAAATCAAAATTTAAAAAATATTTAGGTATTTTGTCAAGTTTTCAAAATAAATATGATGAAAACAAAAAAAGAAAATACCTAAGAACTTTCAGTGGAAACATTTTTCTGACAGCACTACAGACGAATCGAGAGAGGCGAGTGAGCAATAAGTCAAAACAATACAACTTTATTTTCAACTTTTTTCTGTAGTTAACTTAGGTTGTTATGAGCAGATGAAATGCAAAAAAGACATAATTAAATTATCAATTCAGTCACCTCTATTGCTACGGAAATGCGCCACATTTGTATGCTATTCCGTTTGTAATGCGCATCGGGCCGAGAGCCAAACAAGATCCGTTTGACGTCACTAAAACGAATTTGCTCATGTAGTCGGTGCCGTGAATAAGTTCTAGGGGAGCTGATGCGAATTAGCGTAGTACGTATTTGGAACGGATCGCTCATGTAGCCGAGGTGCACGACTCGGACCGGAACTGGACGTATTTCACAAGAACTATTCTTTGCTGAATGGAAGCGTCAAAATGCAAAATAATAAGCATTTTTTATTGAATGCTTCGTAGAAAATAGCAAAAACAAATTGTTGATATTTTGGTTTAGTCTTTGAAGGTGAATTTGGTAAATAGCAAAAATAAAATGAATGAAATATTTTGATGGATAAATTTATTCTGACCACCCTGCTGTCGCTGCATGGCTAATCAGTGCTCAGTGATTTAAAACACGAAAACTTTGTGTAGCCGCCTGAACACCCAGACGATGGTTGTCGGAACTGGTTCTTGTATTGTACCGTTTCTGCAAGCGAAAATATGGCTCACAATCAACACACAGGCCACATACACAGAAGTTCTTGCGGCCACCATCACCTATTATCGTGTACACCAGCGTCACTATCGTACATCTATCAAATAGACGCTGAATTTACCAACACGAGCATTTATCTACGAATATCTTACCGACTGTCGCGTTTCGTCGGGCCTGCTCGCCTCCCACTACTCCGACAAGGGCAACCGCCTATATTAAGGCGAATCAAAAGACAAACAAGTTCTTCATCACGGCCCGTGACCGATCTTGGACCAAAATGCCTGCACTCGCCCCGCTCGCCAACATGGCAGCCAATAGAGCGCGGCGGCGCCGCTGGATCTACGCAAAACAAATACCAGTACTTCGAAACATGAACAAAGCTTGACGAATCACGCGCTATTGGTATTACAAATAAGGCTCAAAAGGCCCAAAGTTCGCAAAATCATAGGCATAGAGTATCAGATACCCACAAAAGAAAAGAAACAAACATTGCAGCCTCACAGTACTTAGCTCATCCCCGGCACAAGCCCCCCGCCCACCTCTAGGGCGCGGCCGGCGATCAGCTGATCGGCAAGGTCAGCCACCGGCCCAAGGGGGGAGGAGGGATGCGCCGGGGAGGGGAGGGCCGGCCGCCCGCAGGAACAGGCTACTAAACCGCATGGCGCCTACACCGCCCCCTTTGAAGGCACGCGCATTCAACCCTGGTCTTAGCCTACTTCAACAACCCTAAACTAACACATGAGACGAGACACGCGCAGTCAAACACAGTCCTAGCGTTCACAATACTCGTTTTCGCACATGAGGACCAGTTTGTTGACAGGGCGGAGTATCTCTGCGCCCTTTGCTCTCAACTTAACACTACGAACCAGGCCATCCTTGCCCGGAAAAGTTTCAATGACGCGGCCCAGGGGCCAGCGAGACCTGGGGAGCTCCCTATCGGCTACCAGGACGACGTCGTTCACCATGAGTGATCTCGTAACACGGAAGGCCTTCTGCCTCTGCTGCAAGAGTGGAATGTATTCTTTGATCCACCTGGACCAAAAAATGCCGGCCAGGTATTGCGCTTGGCGCCACCGTCTCCTCAAGTACAGGTCACCCGCTCCGAATACTCCCACCGGGACGGATAGCGCGCCTCCCGCCAGCAAGAGATGGTTGGGAGTCAGTGGCTGTGGGTCACCGCTATCGCTGGACACGTACGTCAGTGGGCGACTATTTATAATCGACTCGACTTCGCAGAGGAGAGTTGTCAGGGTCTCTTCGGTGAGTACTTGTTCTGTCATCAGTGCATCTAGAACCTTCCGTATGGTACGAATGACTCTCTCCCAGACACCCCCATGTGACGAAGCTTCTATGACGTTGAAGTTCCACTGAATCTTCCGCTGCAGCAGGTTCTCATGTATGACGTCCTCACTCCTCGAGAGGTGTTCCCATTCTGCTTCCAGTTCATTGTTTGCTCCCACAAAGTTCGTGCCACGATCTGATCGGATGGTCTTAACTTGCCCGCGTCTAGCAAGGAATCGTCTCAGAGCGCAGAGGAACGAATCGGTAGACATCGACTCAACTACTTCTATGTGTACTGCCCTCGAGACGAGGCACGAAAAAAACGATTCCGTATCTTTTCTGCTGTCTTCGTCCCTTCTTGACGTAGAAGACGCCGAACATATCCAGCCCGGTGTTTGTGAATGGTGGCTCATCTGGGGTCACCCTGTCCTCAGGCAGGTTCGCCATCTTCTGGTTCAGGAACGGGCCCTGACGACGACGACAGCTGACACAGCGACTGAGGACGCGTCGGACAGCCGAGTTTCCGCGCAGGATCCAGAATCTTGAGCGCAGCAGCGACAAAGTGTGCTCTCTTCCAGAGTGACCTGCTTCTTCATGGATGCTCTGAATAATCAGATCGACAACATGATGACGTCTGGGGAGGACAGGAGGGTGCACCTGATCTTCCCGGATTGGTGCGTGGCGTAGACGTCCGCCTACCATGATCATCCCGTCGTGCAGATACGGGTCCAGCCGTGCGAGAGGACTGGTGATTCCGACCGCGCCCCTCCCTTCCAGCGAGGCCAAATCAGCGGCAAACTCACTTCTTTGAATCCTTGTGACTATTGCCCTCTCAGCTGCTTCAAGTTCTGGTACAGTAAGCCGCTGTCTCTCCTGAGCCTTCGGCTCGGATCCGAGTACAGACACCTTACGGCATCGTTCTACCAAGTAGCGCTTCAGGCGAAGGATCCATGCTACAGCGCGCACGAGTCTGTACCAGACAGAGTAGTGAGAGAACAGCTCCTCCAACGGGTCGCAGCCAGCGTGCGCGACTGCAACGCTGGTGATCTTCATCTCTGGGTCGTTTTCTACCCGACGATCGAGTCCAGCCGGGGGCTCAGGCCACTCATCCCGTCCCTTCCACAAAAAGGCCGGAGCATCGAACCACCGCGGGTTCGCGATGAAGTTGTCCGCTAATTGTCCCCTCGATGCATCGTCTGCCGGGTTGTTCGCTGAGTCAACGTACCTCCATTGTGCCGGAGAAGATACGTCCCTTATCACGGCCAGACGGTTGGTGACGAACGTGTGAAAACGTGTCGTTTCGTTCTGGAGGTAGCGAAGCACTGTTGTGCTGTCCGTCCAGAACACACTTTCATCAATCTTGACTTGCAGAGCGCGTCGCAGTGTGGCTTCAATGCGAGCAGCCAGAGTGGCTGCTGTCAGCTCCGCTCGTGGGACGGTGAGCTTTCCATTCAGGGGCAGAACCCTCGCCTTGCCGAAGACGAACGCACAGTGAACTCGTCCGTCACAACAGGCGATTCGAAGGTAGGAGACTGTGCCGTACGCGACAGAGCTTGCATCTGCGAAGTGATGGAGCTCTCGGGTCTGAATAGGTCCAAGGCCAGCTGGCTGCACACATCTAGGGACGCTGATGGTCGAAAGTAGCGCTCTGCCGCGGATCCATTGCTCCCACTGAGCTTGAATGTCCTCCGGTGCCGGGTCGTCCCAATCGTAGCGTCGTCGTGTTAGTTCCTGTAGAATGATACGACCGCACACGACGAATGGTGCAGCCATCCCCATCGGATCGTACAATGATCCGATGACCGACAACATTCCCCTCCTCGAGCATGGCATACTCCGATCTTCCGTGGTTGAGAAGCCGATGACGTCCGGGTTGACTCGCCACTCAACCCCCAGCGTCTTCTCCAACGGAAGTTCTTTCTCGAGGTTCAGTTGCTTCACGTTCTTCCCTCTGTCTTCTGGTGGGATCGATTGTAGGACTTTCCTCTGGTTACTGACAAATTTGGCTAGGTGGAATCCACCCCGGCTGCACAGCTCTCGTACCTCCCTGACCAGGTCGATGGCTTCATCGATCTTCGTCACCGACTTCACCAGGTCATCAACGTAGATGTTGCTTGAGATCGTCTCACAGGCTGCAGTGGAGTGTAGGTCGCCAAAGTCGACGGCTGTCCGTAGAAGGGCGTAGCTCGCACAGCTAGGGCTGGATCTCAACCCGAACGGATGCACCGTCATGCGCCAGACTTCCACGTCTTCTGCAGGGTCACCGTTTCGCCACCACAGGAAGCGGAGCAGGTCGCGCTGGTCGGCTGGTACAGACACCTGATGGAACATTGAGTTGACATCGCCCATGAAAGCTACTTCTTCCTGGCGGAACCGCAGTAGAACGTCAATCAGGGGAGTGCAGAGAGACGGGCCCTGCAGGACTGCGTCATTCAAGGAGACGCCCTTGAAGGTGCTCGAACAATCAAAAACAACTCGGAGTTTGTCTTTCTTCCCGAAGACACCGTGGTGGGGAATGTAGTTGACAAGTCCATCGTCTCTTGTCAGGTCTTCTGCCCTCACTCTCTCCACGAATCCGTTCTTCGACATGTCCTTCATCACCTCGCTGTATCGGTCGGCAAACCTCTGGTCTCGGAACTTCCTTTTCAGTCCTTGTAGCCGTCTCGTGCAGATCTCTCGGTTGTCTGGTAGCATGGTTCCCTCCTTCTTCAGTGGGATGGATGGGAACCTCGTAGTGTCCGTCCTTCATGATGCAACCAGCTTCCACTTTTTCCATCCACATATGGTCTTCGATCGACCATCCACGTTCGTCAGCTGCTAGACCCTCGTCCTGGTAGAGTTGCCTCTCCAGCAGCCTGATCCTGTTTGACGTTGCCCTTACTTCAGTCAGTTTTCTGGACCGGACGGGGCCGTTCACGACCCAGCCGAGGCGAGTTTTGACAGCGAAGGGCCCACCGTCACAGCTGGGAACGAAGTCGAGGGGTTCAAAGGCCTCTGGTACGTTCACGCCGATCAGAAGGCCTACTTCTGCTTCGATTTCCTCTGGAAGCACGTCCCTTACGTGAGGCCAGGGTTCCACGTCCTCGGCCTTACAAAGCTCCGTCCTACTGACTGGGATCTTGTCGATGACGAACACTTCCGGAAGCTGCATTTGCTCGTTTTCGTCCATGTCACACATTTGGAGGTTGTCGACGGCTGAAGTATGAAGCTCGACTGGTTGTTGTGCCATCGTGGTTAGAGTAAGCTGATACTTCTTTGCTGTTGTGATGCCCAGCTGGCTCAAAAGCTCCTTGCTCAGGAACGTCAGGCTACTTCCACTGTCGATAAAAGCGTACGTCTCCACGATAGGACCATCTCCATACCGCACCTTCACTGGTACCGCTGGCATCCTCGTTGACGTCCCGCTGTTGGACATGACGCTCACAACGGCTGGAGCAGGTGGCGCTTCCCCTGCCGTTGGTACTCCCATTGACGCCACCTGGAAGACATGAAGTACAGACGGGTGCTTCCTTTCACAGACGCCACAGGTGAGTCTCATTCGACATTCCCTCGAACGGTGCCCAGGTTTCAGACACCCAAAGCAGAGGCGTTTATCTCTGATGAGCTGGCGTCTGGCATCGAGAGGGCGCTTCGCATACGCAGAGCAGTTCTCCAACGTATGAGCTTCATCGCAGCAGGGACAGACTGGCTTCTTCACAAGCTCTCTTCTCTCGCTCTCTTCTTGGCGAACAAAATTCACTTTGGCTTCTTTCTCTCTTTGCTTGGTGTTTCCTGTTTTCTGGAACATGTGTCTCCCAAACGCGGAATTTGATGCCACTCTCGCTTCGATTTCGACGAAGCGCACCAGGTCAGAGAAGCGCACGGCACGACCCTTCCGAACTGTAAGATCATCGACCTCCCTTCTCCACCTCTCCTGTAACGCGTAGGGCAACTTTTCCAGCAATTTTCTCAACGTCTTTGGATGGTCCAACTCGTTCAGGCCTTGCTGGAGACTTCCGACTGCGTTTTCACACGTCCGGAGCTCCAGTGCGAAGTTGTCGAGTGTCGTGACGTCATCAGCCCTCACAGTGGGCCGGTTCAGCAGCTTGTTCACGAATGAATCAGCTATCTTGTCTCGCTCTCCATATCTCTTCTCGAGCAGAGACCTCGCTGTTTGGTAGCCTCCAGTGGCCATGTTCATGCAACTTCGGACGATGTCGCGTGGCACTCCGCTCGTAAACTGCTCCAGATAGAACAATTTACTGTCGTCTTCCTGGACAATGTGTGCGACTCTGTTGTCAAAGGCTCGGAGGAACTGGGTGAATCTAGTCACATCTCCAGAGAATACTGGGATATCAGGTCTTGGGAGCAGGCTGGCGGTCAGAAGCTTCTTGATTACCTCCTGCTCTCCATCAAGCTGAGGTTGAGGGGGCTGAGCTCTGGTTAGGACGGGTTGAGGGTTTGGCTCAGCAGCGCCATTCGATCGAGGCTGCTGTTTCTTCAACTTGTGTGCCACACCAGAATGGGAGCTCGCTTGGCTTGCCATCGCAAATGCCTCCTCCTTGGCCTCTGCTTCTGCAATCTCCTCTTGAAGTTTGAGTTCTTCTCGTTTCATCTCCAGCTCTCTCTCTCTTGGGCTTCCAGACGATGCTTTTCTTTCAGGAATCGAAGCCTCACTTCTGCAGCAGCACGTTTGGCAGACTCTTGTGCACGTAGGGATCGCATAGAGCCCCCTGAGCACCTCGATCCACATGCAACTGAATGTTCTACTTGGGGTCCAGCTGCCAGCTGTGAGGCACTATCACCAACCTCTGATACACCTTGAACGTCTCCATCTGAGGCCTGTTTCACTAACAAATAAAGTGTGTAATTACAAAGAAAAAACTTGAGTTTAAAAGAAATATTTACCAACATTTGAAATTTGGATTTCACGAAACCTCCGAGCATGAATTTTGAGTTTAAAATTTACCAACTTTTTTACAAGAAAAAAGTTTGTAAGAAACATCGAAATCGCAAACTTTCTGTTTCTTCAACGCAAACGAAGACCAAAAACTTGAAAGAAAACGTTGTACTTACAAACCCGAAATTCCAGTGGCTCTTACGTTCGGAATTTTATTACTTTTTGTGCAATGATGCAAAGCAATCAATTATTTAAAACAAATATGATATGCTGAGTCATTATATGCTCTTTTTTACTTAGCACAATCCCTACGAACCAGCTACGAGCAATAAATAAATATCGTCATGTTTTGTCATTCGCGCGCCATAATTGCATTCAACAGTCTTCTGCTGTCAACTGTTTTGCGTGTTATTTTCTTTCAATAATAAGATATTGTGAACTATCATTTATACCATTTAGAAACAGCATCATTATTTATAATTTATTCATGCATTTTTTGACATGAATACTATACATAATTTGATAAAAAGAAGCAATATCTGTAACATGTTGTAGTTCTTGATTAAAAACATTTTTACTGTTTACAAGTTTTTTTGCAAACTCTTTTTATCGGAGGTGCCGCTGGTGATGAAGTTTAGTGAAATCCGATTTTACATAGTTTGCAAAAATACTTATGAATTGTAAAGTTCAAACACTTGTAATCGCAAGTTTTTAGTGAAACAGGCCTCTGGTGGCTTGGTTCTCACGTGTGAGGCACCATCTTCAGCCCCATCCACAGTAACCGCCCGCAGCTCACCAGCAGTTTTTGGGTCAGTTGTCATTTCAAAGGCTTCTTCCTTGAGGACCAGGTTCAACCTTTCTTTCAGAACTTCCTTTGATCCTCTTGTATCTTGTCCTCTCTTTTCAAGCTCATCCCTGAGCTCTTGCACTTTGAGCCGCTCAACATTCAGGTCCATGTTCAATGAGATTAAGGAGACAAGTTGAAGACCAAGCAAAATGAAGATCAATGGGTGACACGCCTTCAATCTCTGAGAGCTCATGGATTATCAATGTGCAAGTTAAACAACCATGGAAGTAGACTAAACAGGTTCAGCGTGGCCAGCTTCAGGAAAGTGTCAAGAATCCGAAAGCTATCAGTGAGTGCCCTTAATCAATCAGTTCTGTTCTTGCTGAGCAACCTATGGCAAATGTATCCAGACTTTAACTATCAAATTCAAAGCAATCTTCTGAAGTCTGGTGGTGTGAGGTCCAACTTCAATACGAGGTCGAGGTAGCAAGATAATAGTAACAAATGGATGATCAAGATATTTGTCCTGGACAGGAATGATGTCACTCGCCCAATGGCCAATGTGATAACAGTCAAGGGTTCCCCAAAGTTGGAAACTGCGTTCAATGCTATCACACCAGTCCCCAATAGCAAGTTCAAGGTACGAATCCTGCCCAACAATCAACGGCAACAGGCATAAACAGCAACACAAGTCAACGTCAATACATTTACAGATGCACTTCTCGTGTCGCTGATTTACTCAATCATGTGCGTAGTAATAGCACACCCCCTAGCACAGTTCAGTTGCAAAAGCTCTAGAGTTCAGCGTTCAACCTTAGCACCATACCCACTGCTCACTGTTCTCCGAGCGGGTGCAGTGCCAGCCGCCAGGATGCAGATCTGATCGTCCACGATGTGCAGCAGCGGCGGTAAGTTGTGTGGCAGCTGTAGCTGTAGTTGCTCGTGTGCAGAAGAACTCTCCAGAAGCTAGGAGGGAGCAGAGGTGCAGCCGACTCAGAGGTCGAGTCGAAACTGTAGCCGCCTGAACACCCAGACGATGGTTGTCGGAACTGGTTCTTGTATTGTACCGTTTCTGCAAGCGAAAATATGGCTCACAATCAACACACAGGCCACATACACAGAAGTTCTTGCGGCCACCATCACCTATTATCGTGTACACCAGCGTCACTATCGTACATCTATCAAATAGACGCTGAATTTACCAACACGAGCATTTATCTACGAATATCTTACCGACTGTCGCGTTTCGTCGGGCCTGCTCGCCTCCCACTACTCCGACAAGGGCAACCGCCTATATTAAGGCGAATCAAAAGACAAACAAGTTCTTCATCACGGCCCGTGACCGATCTTGGACCAAAATGCCTGCACTCGCCCCGCTCGCCAACATGGCAGCCAATAGAGCGCGGCGGCGCCGCTGGATCTACGCAAAACAAATACCAGTACTTCGAAACATGAACAAAGCTTGACGAATCACGCGCTATTGGTATTACAAATAAGGCTCAAAAGGCCCAAAGTTCGCAAAATCATAGGCATAGAGTATCAGATACCCACAAAAGAAAAGAAACAAACATTGCAGCCTCACAGTACTTAGCTCATCCCCGGCACAAGCCCCCCGCCCACCTCTAGGGCGCGGCCGGCGATCAGCTGATCGGCAAGGTCAGCCACCGGCCCAAGGGGGGAGGAGGGATGCGCCGGGGAGGGGAGGGCCGGCCGCCCGCAGGAACAGGCTACTAAACCGCATGGCGCCTACACTTTGTTTTCAATTTTTGATTTCATGTTTACTTTTAATGTTTTTGAGCATATCAAATGATGTTATATCGTTCAATAATTAAAATTTAGTTCGGTCGTCCCGGTAAATGCCGCAACTGCGCCATGACTGTACGCTAATCCTATTCCGTTTGTGATGCGAATTACCGGCCGTCGAGGAGTCAGCCAGGGTGAGCCAAACAAGATCCGTTTGACGTAGATAAAACGAATTAGTCTCATGTAACCGGTGCCGTAGATACGTTTGTGGGGAGCTGATGCGCATTAGCGTAGTGCGTATTTGGAACGGATCGCTCATGTAACCCCGGTAAATGTTACCGAATGTGAACCCGCCGCCAGTTTGACAGTCATGAGCGGCGATTGTGGCACCCCTGGCGGTGCGCTTTGGAAGTTGTAGTTGAGGGTCGCAACAGCTGTGGGTAGCGCCGGGAGGGCGGCCATAAGCGTGTGCGACGTGCCATGTGTCGGGCTGATGCCGATTTTGATTTTCGTATCGTTATCGTATCGACCATATCGTATCGAGTGTATCGTTCGGGTTGAAGATCAATACGACCTGAAGCTATCGTTACTCGTTTCGTAACATATGGTGCCGAAACTACCCGGGATCGGTTGGAATCGCTCGTGAAATCGAAATGGCCGATCTTGAGAAACTGAAGCGGCGCAAGATAAGCGCTCAAGGGTGGCTCACTCGAACAGTTCTGAAACTCGAGCAAAGCCTGTCTTTGAAGGAGGTTAAAGTGATTGACCTCGAAAGTTTGCTCTGTGACTTTGATAAGCGGCTGAGTGATTTTGATGTTGCTGAGGAGCTACTCGAGCAAGAGCTTCCAGAAGATGGCATCATGGAAGCCATCGAAGCCGCTGTGGCTGAGTGAGGTCAGAGACCGTGCTGTGGATGTGCGAAACAAAGCCCAGCAAACTCTTGGTGTTCTTAAGGTGAAGGATGGGGCGGATGACTCGG